ATAGATTTAACAAAAGCGAAAATTTACTTATATTATAAAAGTTATATAAGTTATAAAAGTTATAAAAGTTATAAAAGTTATAGAAGTTATAAAAGTTACAAGAGTTATAAAAGTTACAAAAGTTATAAGAGTTACAAGTTACTTTATAAAATATAATATAAATATACTATTATACCGACGAATACGGCAAGTGTAAGAATTTAATTAAGCACGGACCTTTTTGAAAAGTGAATTCGTTTATTACTTTTAAATATTTATTATAACTTAAATATTTTTTTTAACCTTAACATTAATATCAATATCAATTTTAACTTTAACTTCAACTTCAACTTTAACCTCAACTTCAACCTTAATTGTAGCTACAATTACGATTACAATTATATTAGCAATATGATCTTACTTCGCTAGCGCAACTTTCGAAACGGACCTTATATAAAGCGGGTAAGTCGGCCGGATCCGGCTTATAAGCGGCAAGTACAACTACTTCGCAAGCAGCAATAGCTGCTTTTACACCCTTTCCCTTTTTTTTAATAAACCTTGCCTTTTGCTTTGCTTATTGCTTTAATTAAGCCCGCGGTATAAGTGATAAGTAATACATTTTAATTACTTACGCTAATATTATATATAAATTCAATTAAAACGACGACGATAATAATAAGATTAAGCTAATGATCTTTCGTTTTCTTTCTCCTTCTTCTTTTTTTTTTATACCGTCCCCGCTATTGCCTTGCCTCTTCCTTTCTCTTTCTTTTTTGCTGCTATAAACTTAGCAATAAAAAAGATTAAAAAAAAGTAAAAAAAGATAAAGTAATAAAAGATTTTAAACCCGTAATATAAGTCATCTTAAAATTAAGTGATACATTTAAGCTATTTACGCTAATAATATATATATATATATATAAATTCGAAAACGACGACGATATAAATAAGCTAATAATCTTTCGCTTTCTTTCTTTTTTTATCTTCGTCCTTCTTGCTTCATCGATTCTTATCAGCGCTCCGGCTTTTATATTCTTCGCCGCCGCCGTGCTTTCTTTTGCTACGCTACTTGCTACCCTTCGCTTTATAAGCTTTAGACCGATCTTACTTTTATAATAAAGCATAAGCGTAAGTATATTTTCATATCTTTTATTAATGCTTATTAATCAGATTAATAAATATTTGCGTTTTCGCCGGCCGTTAGTAAAAGGACCTTTTTTACTAAAGCCTAGCTTAAATAAGCTTAATCGATTGCCGGGTTTGCGCGGCTCTTTTAAGCTTAGACTACTTAAAAGAAAAACAAGGACTTATATACGCTTTCCGTTATAAGCATATAGTAGTCGTATAAGCAATCGGACTTATTAAAGCTCCTTTTTCTTTGTCGTATTATTATCAGCTACGTCGGCCGTATTATAAAAACCGAATTATAAGAATTACTTTCTCTTATCTTTTAATAACTTTAAGCTAATACAAATATATAAAAGTGAGTTAATAGACTCGCTTTGCGATGCGTGCGCTACTGCTCGCTAAGAGTGTTAAGTATACTCTTCGGCCGGTAAAGTATAAATATCTAATTCGAAAGATGCGTATGTTCGCTATCGATAGTCTTTTCGAAAGTGTATTGCGTTTAAGAAAAGCTTACGTAAGAAACGTAAACTTAAACCCTTTTCTTTTGCTCGAGACCTTCCTTTTTCCTCCTTTTTCCCTCTTTTAAGTGCATCTTTTATAGCTAAGTTAAAGATTCGGGTTTAGACTTTCTTTAATGCATATTCTTAAACTTAATAACTCTTATAACTTTTATAACTTGTATAATCTTATAGCTTTTATAACTTTTATAACTTTTATAACTTTTATAACTTTTATAACTTTTGTAACTTTTGTAACCTTTGTAACCTCTATAACCTTTATAACTTTTGTAACTTTTATAATTTCTATAACTTTTATAACTTTTGTAACTTTTGTAACTTTTATAACTTTTAATATTTTCGTAATATAAGTAAATATATAAATATAAGTAATAAAAGGGGTCCGGGGTCTCCCCGGTATAAAAATGAAAAGATGAGTAATAAAAAGGGGTTTAAGGGGGTCTCCCTTTTATAATAAAATATAAACTCGATAATAACTTTTGTAATTTTTGTAACTTCTGTAACTTCTGTAACTTTTGTAACTTCTGTAACTTCTGTAACTTTTGTAACTTCTGTAACTTCTATAACTTCTGTAACTTCTGTAACTTTTGTAACTTCTGTAACTTCTGTAACTTTTGTAACTTCTAATATTTTCGTAATATAAGTAAATATATAATTATGAGTAATAAAAGGGGTCCGGGGTCTCTTCGGTATAAAAATGAAAAGATGAGTAATAAAGGGGGTTTAAGGGGGTCTCCTCTTTATAATAAATTATAAACTCGATAGTTTTTAATATAATAATACTTTTATATATATTTACTTGTATTTTACGATCTATTTAATAAGTTTGATATTTAGCAAAACATAAAGTCCGATATAATATTATCAACGGGCTAATTATTAATTTTATAAAAATCTAATTTAATAATATACTAATGAGTAATTAGCCCGTTGGTAACACTACAGAGAACTTGGTCCTCTGCCCTGGTATATATTTAATAACTTACGTAAAGAATCGAATTAAAAGTTGTTCTTTATACTCTTTTTAAACTTGCTTTTTTTGCGAAAAGCTATATATTCGGAGTTTACGTCACACGTTAAGCTATTAACTATATGCTTTTGCGATGCACTTTCGAAAAGTATTCGATATACGTTAAGCTAATAATTAAGTGCTTTTGCATATAAGCTTCGAAGCTATTGCTTTAAAAGCGATTTTTTTTCGATTTATATCCGTCGAGTATGCTATTCGGTATACTCGATAAGTACTATTCAAAAAGTCGTTACTTTAGTTCGAAGATCGAGCTAGCTAAAGTTTAATTCGATATTTATAAAGTTTTATTTATTTAAGCTATTTTGCACGGCGATACGCTCGAAGTATTATTCGTTTAGCATACTTTATTTTTTCGATTTAATATCGTTTTTAATACGAGCTTACTGCTTTTTCTTTTTTAAAAAAAGTAAGCAATAGCTAAGTACCGGAAATACTACGCTAAGCTTAAGAAGTTAAAAATTCAATACTTATTTCGCAACGGAAATTACGTATAAAGACTTCGAACTGCTTTCGAATATCTTTCGCTTTAATAAATAAAAAATACAACGAACGGAAATAGATATTATGCAATTCGAAACGGTTTCGGTGTCGTATTATATTAAAAACAAGCTATATGCTTGTACGGAAGCTCGATTATTACTCGATTTCGTTTTTATTTCGATATATTTAATTTCGGTAATTACTTTTTCGCTTATTACGGATCTTATATTATAAAGTTAAACGTATTATTAATATTATTTATTATATCGATTTAGTTTTAATTATTTAACTCGAAGCGATCGACACTCGACTTTTTAATAAATCACTTTCGACGCATCGAGATCTTATATCTTTATAACATTTTTTTATGTATTTAACATTTACCAGGGCAAAGGACCAAGTTCTTTGTAGTGTCACCAACGCGCTAATAACTCGATTTATAAGAATTTTAATATATTTATATCAAAATCATAAAATTAAAAATAATAAGGATAAAATAAATATAAAAGTACTATTATACGAGAAATGATTTAATATTTTATTATAAAAAGAGACCTTTTAAAACCTTTTTTTTTATCGTAAAGAC